CTTAACAGCAACCCAGTTGTTTCTGGGAGAGGTTGGTCTGGGCCTGGAGAAGTGCACCATTGAGGAACTCAGAGACGTGATTTCAGGCGTGGTCAAAGAGGCCATTAGCAGCAGCAAGCCTTGCAAGCCTTGCGATTACGGCAGCTGCCGTCAGAATGCTCTGGGAACAAGCCCTGCCATCGATTGTTGCTGTTCTTGAGAGCTGCTTCGCCTTGAAACGTGACGCGCTGTGTTTGCGGCGCCTGCGCCTATCAAGATGTGATGCTTGCTTTTGTGTTTGTTCTGCATTATGACTCAGAACACTCTTTCTGCCTGTCACAGGCCATGCAATCTTGGGCACAAGCCCATGCAGCTGACGGCGCCGCGCAGGAAGACTAAACTATCATGGTCTGCGATTCAGCTCCTAGATAAAGAGGGTCTACCAGAGCAGAGCACAGGTACTGACTGACTTTAACAGAAGCAGCACGTTGGTGCTAGTGAAATGGTGCACTGAGGAGGGGTAAGGGAAAGGGTGCGATCCGAGATGGCTTGGGAACGGAGCGCAGAAGCAGCAACGAAGCAGACAAACGATTTGATGTCTGGCAGACTCTGGCAGGCACAGCCAAGACCCGAAGAAGCGTATATTTGCAACTTGATGAACTTGGGTGGGGCAGTGACATCCAAGTCCCAAAGCCTAAAGCACACCGCGCAAGCCTCATTAAAACAAAATGCAACCGCACTTCCATCACGTACGTCGCCGCAGGCTCGGCCTCAAAGCGGTGACAGCTTCCGTGCAAGTCAGTCTGAGGCCGGGGCCCCACAGGAATCCTCAAGATATGTGCGTGTGGTAGAAACATTGACACCTTCACTGGACGTATCAACCTTTGGCCGCAGCTTTTTAGGAAGCCTGAACAACCAGAGAAAGACATGTTTCTTGTATTTACGCTCGTGCTGTCCTATACCCATTGAGGCCGAAACTATACTCATCTATAAGCCATAATGCTTGGAATGGCAGTACGGATGCTCTCCAAATAAGATTGCTTCAGCCGCCATCACTCGTCATTCAAGCCTGCATGGTCCGTTTAAGACAAACTCCACATCACAAGGATTGCTACCAATAGGCCCTCAACATCCACATTTTGCAAAGCTGGTGTCCCCGGGTAGGCAGATCACCCAGAATCTGCAGAGGACTGCTTTGGCATGATTTTAGCAGTCAGGGCTTGGGATTCATCTTCTTGTTCAGGACGTGGGACAGGGGGCAGGACAACTTCAACAGGAGCTTCGTGTGTATGTTTCTGGGGTGCAATATGGTTGGGGCCTAGTTTGCAGATGTGGTTGCTAGTGGGTTGGCAGGTGCCATTGATCCCTTGTTCTCAGCAGCAAAGTTCAATCAGGCGCTTCACAGACAAATGCCTCAGCATCTTGTGGGCCCTGCATCTTCCAACCTGCAACCCAGCCAGCCCACGCTACAAGGCGTCACAGCCCCAGCAATGCTGAGCTGCAACAACCCGCCCTGAGATCCCTTAGCCCGAACCCTTCGCCAAGCTTAAGGTGAATGCCCCTCCCCTGTGCTTTGGGAAGGTCCCCATGCCGGTGCTGACCATGGCACGTGAAGAAATTACTGCGCAAAGTGGGGCGGAGGCGGGAGACTTTTCCTGAGCATCATCCTCATTGGTCATACTCCCAAAATTCGACAGTCCAGGTTGTTAGTTATTCTAGGCTTCCAAAAGGAGCCGCCGGCTCGGTGAGCAGAAGACTTGAACTTTATTGCATGGGAATGCATGGGCTATAAGGTCATTTTCCCTGCTGTGAGGAGATTGGGGCTCAAGGAGGCACTATAATCAGCACAGCTCCATATAGACGGCAACAACCTTGATCCAGGTCCTCTCCTCTGCAGCAATCAGCGTGGAGGAGCCAGGGGCGGACAAGGCGTCAAACGCTTTTCTGTCTCTTTGACATCTGAAGCTACACCACCCCGTGCCCAACCCTAACAGACAGTCCAGCCTCCCTCCAGGACCTTGTTTTGGCATTTGCGGGAAATGTGTCGTCCTTTTCTCTCATAGGGCTGCGGTTCCGAAAAGTGGCAGGCATGAGGCATGCCTGCAACAGCCTTGCACTTGCCTTTGTTTTGCTCGGGCCCGGGAGCGTGGCATCCAGAATCAAAGTGGCCCATGGCCACCTGCCTCGCTTGACAGACGACATGACATGATTATGATTGGAGGCTGTGGAATTGAAGCACCACGCTACAGCCTGCGGGTCAACCTCAACTAGCCAGAATGCTGGTCAAAAGCACTTCTGATGGCCTTGGGCCATGGCAACTGGGCTGGATGCGGGCACTGCAAACCACGTAGATGCCGGCGTTGCTTTGCGAAACTGGAAGTGCTGCGATGCTGCGAAACGTCTTCCAGACTTGCCCGCAGCTGGAGACCAGAAAGCCTTCCGAGAGGTTGGGCAGGAGCCTTGCGGTTCCCGGAAAAGTCGGTAGGTTAAGCCCATGCAAAGTGCAGTAGCTGTGGCAAGCGTGTCAGGTCATCTCTGCATGCGGTCGGGCGCACGATTGGGAGACAGCTCTTCATGTGCTGGCGAGCTTAGCCGCAGGCACTGTGCCTAATGTGTTCAGCTTCAGCGCTGCCATCAGCGCATGTGAGAAGGGTCTGCAGTGGCGTCCGGCGCTACACGTCCTGTCCGACATGCAGAGCCTCAAGACTTTGCCTAACGTATTCACTTATAGTGCTTGCATCAGCGCCTGCGAGAAATGCAGCCAGTGGCACACAGCGCTGCAGCTCTTAGGTGACTTTCCTTCAGTGAACATCCAGCCCGACAAGGTCGCTTGTGGCGCTGGCATCAACTCCTGCGCCAAGGGCCGGCAATGGGAGATGGCCATCCATCTTCTGGCGGGAATGCCTACTTCTAGAGTGGTTCCAGACCGCATAAGTTTCAATGCTTGCATAAGTGCGTGTGAGAAAGCTGGTCAATGGGAACAGGCCTTGCATTTGTTGACAGCAATGCCTGAGGCTTCCTTTCCACCAAATGCGATCACATTCAATGCAACGATCAGTGCATCTGAGAAGGGTCAGCATTGGCAGATGGCCCTGCATTTGTTATCTGAGATGCCTGCAGCTGGTGCTGTGCCAAACGTCGTGAGCTTCAGTGCTGGCATCAGTGCTTGTGAGAAGCGTGGCAGATGGCAGCAAGCCTTGAAGTTGTTATTCGAAATGCAGTTGCAAAGGGTCTTTGCAAATGCAATCAGCTTCAATGCAGGTATTAGTGCCTGTGAAAAGGCGGGGCAGTGGCACATTGCTCTTCAGCTTTTCTCTGCAATGCTGGAAGCCCGGGTAGTCCCAACAGTCATCAGCTTTAATGCCTGCATCGCTGCATGTGACAAAGGTGGCCTTTGGCAAGTAGCCTTGCATCTACTTACTCACATGCCGGCAGCAAAGATAGCCCCCAACGACATCAGCTTCAGCACCTGCATCAGCGCCTGTGAGAAAGTTGGGCATTGGAGAGCTGCTGTACATCTCCTGTCAGCCATGTCCTCTGCCAAAATTGCACCAAGTGACGTGAGCTTCAATGGTGCAATCAGCACCTGTGAGAAGGCCGGGAATTGGCAGATGGGCTTGCTGTTGCTGCTGGGTATGCCTTCTGCAGCAGCTCTGCCCGACGTAATCAGCTTCAGTGCGGGCATCAGCGCATGTGAACGAGGGGCGCAGTGGCTGCTGGCCCTCCACCTCTGGTCGGAGATGCTTGCATCGAGCATCAAAGCGAATGTGGTCAGCACGAGCGCCTGCATCAGCGCTTGCCAGAAGGGCAGGCAGTGGCAGACGGCTTTGTACCTTTTGTCCAAGATGCCATCCACAGATGTGAGACCTAACATGGTAAGCTTCAATGCAGGCATCAGTGCCTGCGAGGAGGGCCGGCAATGGTTTGTAGCTTTTCACCTTTTGATGGACCTTCCTCTCGCAAAGATAGATGCATGGCGCCAAGGATTTTAGAGCATGGGCATCTCAAGGACTGCAGAACCACCTACTCCCATCAGTGCCCTGGCGCAGCGCATCCGGCCCAGGCCAAAAGTGCCCCACCAACCTTGCCCATCCCAAGGCTTCGTGAACCAAGTGCAGCCTTTGCCTCGTGGTCATGAAGACCACTTTGTGGTATCGCTGCCCACGTGTATTTCCGAAGATTCATGCGCAGCATTCGCACCAGGCTTCGTTATCAGCAATGCTTTTTGCGGCACTGTAATTTGACCGCAGGCTGTGTTGGCTCGCTACTTATCAGAAGCTCGAGCATTTGGAGGATGTTGGAGTTGGCGCCCAGGTGCTTTTGCGATGGCTTTCACCACAAATACAAGTATGAGTACAATATATCGAAGATCCTCTGCCCTGAGGGGATGCCTCGCTTCGCATGTTTGACTCGTACCCGAGAGGCAACATCCAGAGAGGTGCCCGGTCATTTCTAAAAGTGTGAGAGCATAAGTCGGAGAGGAATGTGTAGCGATGAGCTGACGGAGCAGAGTCGGAAAAACCTGGCTTCGTCCCAATGCTTTGAAAATGCTTAAGGCAGCAGCTTCGCCTTTAAGAGGAGCTGCAAAACTGCCACAAAGATGTGCAATGTAGCGGGGCTTTGGCTCCGGCGGTACTAGTGTCACGAATAGAAACACAAGCCTGCGGCAGCCTGCTTCTCTTGGTGCCCCTTCCTTGCTCCAAACTTCCCTTGCCAGGCTGAAGCCGTCGAAGTTGATGCTGTCTCAGGAGACGCTCTGCAAACTTGCCTGAGCAGTGGAAGCTCGAGCCATGGCTGCACGTTTTAGTTTTTCAGGATCAGAGGCTTGAGCTCGCAACATGACCTTTTCAGGCCTCCTAAGCCCTCCTTTTCGACGTGAGATTGGAGAGCTTTCAGAGGTCTCTCATCTACACATTTGTTGTGTGTGTGTGGGGCACGTCCTTTCACTGCAGGCAAAAAATCAGGTTGCAAAAAGCATTAGGATGATATTTTGTTCGATTGCTTTCTCCCTTCCTGCCGCCTTCGCACTTCATCTCAACTGCAACGGGCTGCTGCGACCGTCATCGCGACGATTGTTAGGGTCTCGTGCTAGCTCCACCAAACCATTAGGCCTTTCACGGGCAGGGGCGTCTTTTTCGCAAAGCAGGTTTGAAACAAGCGGCTTGCGTTCGGTGCAATCAAGTTCAGTGGCGGGGATTCCGCGACAAAGGGCTTAAGACAGCTGGCCGTGACAAAGGCTTGTGAAAGGGAGCCGCTCTACGAGACATCTCGGGGTGCGTAATACACTAGGTTCATGCTTCCTGCAGCAGAAGCCCTTCTGTTCCCAGATTTCCCGCATGAAATTAAACATTGCCAATGTCAAATAATCGTGCCTCACCCCAAGGAGTGGC